AATTGGTTGGGCTCATATCCTTGTGGTGATGGCTGGCTAGGAATTAAGTGCACGAATTCACGAGTCACCTCGATGTAAATTCTCATTTAATTCCCACCTCTTGGATGAACGCTTATTCTTTCTGTTCAAGTTTCTGAGGATTGACCTGTCTTCCATCTGTTGTAGAACATTGCCAAGCATGGGCTTGGAAGGGCAAGTGTTTGGTGACATTCCATCCTTAACTGAATTACAGACTTTGTAGGTCCTCTATCTGAAGTTCACATGGCAGTCATTTCAAAACTAACTTGTTCATTCTCCTCCATTTAAGAAAATAATCATTTATGTGTTTGTGCTGCTCAGATTTCTAAAGATTCACTTAAATCTAAGGCTTAAGTGAAACACATTATCTTTAGGCATTCTATGCAAAAAGTTTAGTTGTTATTATAATAGAGAATATGAAGAACATGATAGTCTGTTGTTTTGTCAGCTAAATATGCCTACCTACCTTTTCCATTACTTGTTGAGGGATGTTATAATATACATATTGATATATCTCTGATCAAGCTTCTTTATGCAAGGATCTATCTTACAACAAGGGCCTGACAGGATCTCTTCCGGAATCAATTGGGAATTTAACGAAGTTAACAAACTTGTAAGTCACTAAGTCTAATTAATCTTTTTTTTTATTATTATTTTTTGGGTCTTTTCTTTATGGAAAATGTATTGTTTACGATTCTCTTCAAACCTGCTTTTGTGCTTCTGTGACAGAAACCTTGTTGGCTGTGGTTTCACTGGTCCAATCCCTTACACAATAGGAAATCTACAACAGCTGGCCATTTTGTGAGGACCTTTAGTCTAATATCAGCTATGATATAACGGTTAAACTTGCACTTTGAAATTGCTTGTGTGGTGATCTTCAATTGTTTAATGAAACTTGATGGACAAATTTGTACTGGTTAACTAAGTAATCACAGTTCAGCTCCGCTGTGAATTGCGTTGATACTTCAATTCTTTTGCAAATTTTAATTGGAGCAATTCCATGCTAGCCAACATCTCTGAAACCCATCATTACCTGCAGATCTCTAAATTCCAATAACTTCGGAGGACAAATTCCACCATCTATTGGTAATCTATGGAATCTATTTTGGTTGGATCTGGCTGACAACCAATTAATGGGATCAATTCCTGTGTCAAATGGAACTATAGTTGGCCTTGACAAGTTGGTCCATGCCAAGCATTTGTATGCTACTTGTCTTCCTAATTTAACTTGTTTTATTATTTTTCGTTTCCTTCGTAATAATATCATCTAAAGTTTCCTCCTTTATCCACAGTCATTTGGAAAAGAATAAACTTTCAGGCAAAATTCCAAAGCAAATTTTCAACTCAAACATGACTCTGGTGCATGTGTGAGTTTCACTTTTGTTTTCTTTAATTATATTTTGACTGCATAAGCTACCAGAAAATAAATAAGCCGAGGGCTTAAACGTGGGAGTTTTCTGCAACAAACAAATATTGCCTTCTGAATAATAGTGCTTCTGTACCAGGAGTGGCTAGTCTTAGTAGCTTGTTTCTAGTTCTTATCTCTTTGGGTATGTTTGATTTGAAGGAAATAAAGGGGAGGGCAAGGGAAGGGCAAGGTGAGTATTTTAACCACTCAAATTATATTGTTTTCAAATATCGCAAATGGATTGGTTAAAAAATTCATGCGTCCCCTCCGCTCCTCTCTATTTCCCTCAAATGTTCTTCTTTTGTTTAGTCAAGTAACAAATCTGCCCTTTTCTTCTTTTCTCCTTCCTTTTCAGTTTTCATCAAATCATAGGCTAGATTATCGTATGTTTGAAAGCCTTCGTTTCTCCTCTTTCTGCTAGGTTATTTGACAGCAATGAACTTAATGGTTCTATCCCTTCAACCCTTGGGCTTGTGCAATCTTTACAGGTGATGTGAGTATCTAGAACACATGCTTAAGCAGATTTGAAATGAGATTATTGTTTGAATTGGATTTCTTCGTGGGTGTGACTGAAGAAGTAATTGTTTTGGCTGCATACATTTTGATAACAATTCCTTAAGTGGGAGTGTTCTATCAAACCTCAACAATCTTGCAAATCTTCAAGAGCTGTAAGCATGCAAAAGATGGAAAATGAGTAATCTTTGCATTTATTAGTTTATCTTCTCTAATAGAAAATGTTTTGTGAACTTTTTTTCAGATCTTTGTCTAACAATAAACCTAATGGCTCTTTACCCTCCCTTATTGGCATGAGCGATCTCAACACCTTGTAAGCAGTGCATGCCTTTTACATAACTAAACTACGACCCATTTTCTTAGTCTTATTCTCCACTTCCTATGTGTCTGTAATGCGTGCACTTTATGTCTTCAGTTGAAATTGTTATTCACTAGGCCTCCTTCAATAACCCTATATGGTTGTCATTGATTTTCATTCTAATAATATGATTGTCTTCTGTAGGGACTTCAATAATAATAGCTTCAGTACCTTTGTGATTCCTACATGGGTTTCATCTTTATCATCCTTAACAACACTGTATGTCCATCTTTCTCTTTTAACATTGTATGAACTATTTTAAATGCAGAACCCAAATACTCCCCTCTAGTCTTTTACCATCACACTTCATTGAGGGCCATATATTTTGTTAAACAATTGTCGAGAATATCTTTCCATCCCTAATAATATTGTTAGCAGCAATAAGATGTTCAAAACTTAACCAAGCTAGTAAATAGTACAATAAATCCATCCCTGAATGTGTTATCTCCCCTTCCCTCTTTCCTTCCCTACCTCTCTTCCTTGCTGTCTCACTTTGTTTTCTGCATGTTCTTGGACCCATGCCCATATGCCTGTATACATACACATTGATGGGTTTCCTACCAAGTTAAGAGAACAATTGATTTCTTTACAAGGCAGAAGGATGGAAAGCAATCATCTTCAAGGTCAAGTTCTTGTCAACCTCTTCGGACTTCCAAATTTGCAGACTATGTGAGTATCAGCTTCACTTCATGCACTACCATTCCTTGTCTTGGATGTTCACAACTCTGGTTAAACATATCCTGTTGATCCAAACCGTGGAGATGATAGCTAGAGGCTAATTATTTCTATATTTGTCACATTATATAGGAGGCTAAAAGGCAACCGGCTAAATGGCAGCTTGGATATAACTAAGGGATTTAGCAGCCAGCTAAGCCTCATAGATTTGTAAAATAATGAAATTACTGAGTTCAATGTAACAGAAGGATCCAAAATTTAGATAATGTGAGAGAATCATTTCTTCTAGCTTTTTTTTCTCCGTCAATTTGTTTTTTGCTTAAGAACTTGGCTCATATTACTTAGAGATCAAATTGCCTTTAGATGTATTCTTTTTAAGTGTTAAAGTTTTTGAATGCCTTTCTTGGCTCAATAGATTTAATTAATTCATGCAGACTTGCTGGTAACCCCTTTTGTGAAAAGACAGGAGCAACAAAAACTTACTATGTAGTTCCACAACCAAATTTCACTTCCTTGTATTTTCCCTCTCCCAATAGCTGCCCACCTGCTAGATGCAGTTCAGACAAGGTTTCTAGCCCCACATGCAGATGTGCATATCCATATACAGGAATTCTATCTTTTAGAGCAATTTCATTCTCAGACTTGGGGAACCAAACCGTATATGATCTACAGACAAATCTGACACAATTCTTCTGGGTCAACGAGCTTCCTGTTGATTCAGTTTCATTAAGTAATCCAAGATTGGATCCTTATAGATATCTTCTATTGAACCTTAGTATCTTTCCATTTGGCCTAGATGGTTTGAATCGAACAGAGGTTTTTACAATTGCATTTATATTTACCAACCAGTCTTACAAGCCATCATCTAATCTTTATGGACCTTATACTTTCGATGATGATGCTTACAACCACTTTTCAGGTATTTTCACTATTATTATAGCATTGTAATGAATAGTTAAACTTAGCTCTTTTTTATGTTAATCCACACTTTTATGTCATATGTTGTTTCTTCAAACACTAAAAACTTAAAAAAATCAACTATTGGCATCATTACTGGAGCAGCTGTTGGTGGCTCTGTTCTTCTGCTATTTTCATTGCTTGCTAGAGTTTATGCTTTTCATCAAAAGAAGAAGGTAGAAAGAGCAAGCTTAGAGAGCAACCCTTTTGGTATGATTAGCATTTATTTACTGTGGCATATTCAAGTTGATAGCATACAAACTTCAGGTTTCTTGACTCATTCTCTGCTGTACAAATGCAGCTCACTGGGATGTTAAGAAAAGCAGCGGAAGCATTCCTCAGTTAAAAGGTGCAAGATGTTTCTCTTTTGAAGAGCTTAAGAAATATACAAATAACTTTTTAGAGGCCAATGATATTAGATCTGGGGGTTATGGAAATGTCCCTCTCCCTCTCTCTCCTTGTAAAATGATTTTTCTTTCTTAAATAAAATTGTGTTACTAACCCCTTTTCATTTGAACTGATAATTTTACAACTTGCATGTAATGGTCTTAGTTACTATAGACATGTACGTACATAACATTTCTATATACATATATATGGAGCAAATTAGCCCTTGATGAAACTTTGGTGGTATATCTACCGCAGAACTTACAAATAACAACAAATCTCCCCAAAGAGATAGAAACCGTTAGTTTATATTGGTCATTGTATCTGATGTGGCATGATAGGCTGATTAAGGTCAGTCAACGATGTCCATCAACTTTGGGGAGATTTGTTGTTGTCTGTAAATTGTTAGGTGGATTCACAACCAAACTTTCTTAGGGACTTATTTGCTAGTCAAAATTATTTTAAGGGGCCTATTACCTATTATTCCAATAGAAAATGGTGGTTTTAGTTGTTGGACGAAAAAAAAAAGGAAAAGAAAAAAATTATTAGAAAATAATCAATGTATCCTCAAGGTCTCTCTTTTATATTAGAAAAGTTCCACGTGGATTTTCGACAACTATGCAGTATGATCAATGCTATGCTGCTAATTAAATCAGGAACATGATATGATTAACATAATCAATTTGACTTCAAACTTTTGTGAATCTAGCAGGTTATTACTAAAACAAATTACAGATTTGTCAACTTTCCAACACTACTATTCCTTTTCTCAAATTTTTTTTTTGTCTTCAATTATTATTTTTGTTACATTATATTACATTACATGATTATTAAAGTTTCATTCTTCAATCAATTACAAGTTTATAGGGGAACTCTTCCCAATGGAGAGTTGGTTGCAATCAAGTGAGCCCAACAAGGATCATTGCAAGGCGGGCTGGAATTCAAAACATAGATTGAACTTCTATCTAGAGTCCATCATAAGAATGTTGTTAGTCTATTAGGATTTTGTTTTGAGCGAGGTGAACAAATGCTAATATATGAATTTGTTCCAAATGGCTCTTTGTATGAAACTCTATCAGGTATGTTCCTCCATTTCTTTTGTTTTTGACCCAACATGAATTACTTAACAAGTTATATATAATTTATATATACTATTGTTGAAAGAACAAACGATAAGCCTCGATCATTGAAAGAGCAAGAAACAACTCAAAAGGCATTGTAAATATAACTTAATATTTACAACTTGTTTCTTTGCCATTGTCCAATGATTCTAACTAGTTATTTTAGCCCTAGTATTTTTTCCCATCTATTAACTGTAATCTTGCCATAGTATCTATAATAACCATGTATCAATCATTTTATCTATGATAATTGAATTTATGTTACACCTTTCACATTTCTTGCATAACAAGCTAGCCTTAGATCTAGCAAAAGCTCCATTTAATTTGCTTCATTGGAAAGTTTCATACTATTCGCAAGAAAGTCAGGAATCAGACTAGATTGGGCTAGGCAACTCAAAATAGCCCTTGGTGCAGCTAGAGGCCTAGCATATCTGCATGAATTTGCCAATCCTCGCATCATACATAGGGACATTAAATCGAGTAACATATTATTAGATTAGCGCCTCACTGCTAAAGTTGCTGATTTTGGTCTTTCTAAGCTTATAAGTGACAGTGAAAAAGCTCATGTTACCACTCAAGGCAAAGGGACAATGGTGAGTGCTTTTATACACCCACTTCAGTGGGATAATAAGGTTTAATTAGTTTAGTGACAATTCTTTACTGTGCTAGAAGAATTTGATCATGCC